GAGAAGGAAAAACAACTCACAGATGAATGCCATGGAAACATTTAAGAGAAGAAGCAAGGATGCAGAGGAAAGAAAGGATTTACAGAAGTAGAAAGATATGAGGAAAACCAGGGGGAAAATAGTATGATTGAAGTTGAGTAGATGTTTTAAAGAAGGGGAAAGTATTATAGTCAGCAATAGGAAGTGCATTACAGTAGTTTTATTTGACTTCAAACTGCCTTTTAAATTTCACAAGTAGAGGTTCATAGGTAAGTAACCGATATGAGATAAGTTTTAGTGAAGCATTTCCAACAGAAACTAGTGTGAGTGTTCTGGTTATGTTACATAGATGGAGGAGTGAGCTTGAGATAAGCAAGCCTAACTAAAATAACATGATAAATACAGGCAGTGGTATCAGAGAAGGCTGAACTTATAATGAATGTAGTTTTAGTGCCCGTGTTCTGATTAATGACTTTTACACAGTACTCTTCCACTTCATTATAAAGGAAATGTGTATTCGTAGTAATACAATTAAGGAAAAATGAATGAACAGACAACTCTCATAATCCAGTTCATATCTTTATAAATTTTAAAATGCTTTTCTCTCATCTTGTAGTCCTTTTTTTCTTATTTTCTTTGAAGGAGTCCATTAAAATAGGACAATTACTTTGAGTAAATGTGTATTCCTTTGAATAAAAATTACATAAACATCAGGAGAAAATATTACCTTTAACAGAGGTTAGCAAACTTTTTCTCTAAAGCCCAGATAGTAAATATTTTTGGCTTTGAGTCTCTGCCAAGATGCCCAAACTCTGCTGTTGTAGCAAGAAAGCAGCCATTGACCATAGTAAGTCAATGGTTTGGGCTGTGTTTCCATAATACTATAATAATCCTATATTATAATATATAATATATATTTGTATATATTATATTCAAAAGATATAAAAATTTAAATGTATATATATATATATATATATATATATATATATATATATATATATATATATATATTTAAACAAATAGGTTGTAAACACAGAAGGTAGGTCATATTTGGCCTGAGGGTGTTAGCTTGCTTGTTGCTGCTTTATATGTTTCAAAATGAATAACTTAGAATTCTATCATTCTTTTTTACATTCAGATTTTTTTTAGCAGACAATTTTATGGTTTATTTATATAATAAAGGATCTGTGAATTCTCAATCTTCAAATATTCAGGTAAGATTTAAGTTCTACGCTATACAGATTTTTTAACAACCCCCCCCTTTTTTTTTACACTGAAGAAATTCTTTTATAATACAGCAGACTTTATTCACGGGGGATATAGTTAAGGAATCCATTTTTGTGTGTACCTAATTTCCCCTATTATTATTAGACTTTGCTGAAATCTTGGTAAATGAAAGGAAGTTAGAATGACTCAACACTTTCTACTTTACCTAGAACATACTACCTTTGAAAATATGCAATACCTGACTATTTAGTTGGAGGCAGTGATATCTTTTACCTTAGATTATCAAATAAAATATGACAGCTGCCAACACGAGAATAGCCATTGGTGTGAATGAAATAAAATTATTCCAATCTTTTTGTCAAATCGGCAAAAAATATATTTTTTTACTGTGGTGCAGAATTTTAGTAATTGGTTTATGTGTGCCATAGATAAAAAAGGTTGAAAATAGCTACCTAATCCCATCCATCAAGAAATTCTACTGACTCTACCCTTTAAATTATAGTATATCTGTAATATACTCTTTTCCTTTGTCTCTATCAACTGGAAACACTCTTTTCCAAGAAGCATCTTACTTAATTGGACTAGAGGCCTGGTGCACACATTTTGTGCATGGGAGGTGTGTGGGGAAGGGTCCTTCAGCCCAGCCTACATATTCTTGAAATTCGGGACCCTTTGGGGGATGTCTGACTGTGGGATTGGGCCTAAACTGGCAATCAGAGATTCCTCTCACAATTGGTACTGCTGATTCCTAACTGCTCACCTGCCTGCCTGCCTGATCACCCCTAACCACTCTACCTACCTGCCTAATCATCCCTAACCACTCGTCTGCCTGCCTGATTGCCCCTAACCATCTCTGCCTTGGCCCCTGCTGCTGTGGCTTATATAGAATGACATCTGGAAGGTCATTTGGCTGTCTAGTCTAATTAGCATATTATACTTTTACTACAGGCTCAGTGCACAAAGTTTGTGCACGTGTGTGTGTGTGTCTCCCTCAGCCAAGCCTGCGCCCTCTCTAATTTGGGACCCTTCAAGGGCATTTGGACAGCCCTCTCACAATGGCTGGCTCCCAACTGCTCGCCTGTCTGCCTGCCTAATTGCCCCTAACTGTTCCCCTGCTGGCCCAATTGTCCCTAACTGTCCCCCCCTGCTGGCCTTGTTGCCCCCAACTGCCCTCCCCTGCTGGCCCAGTCTTCCCTAACTGCCTTCCCCTGCCAGCCTGGTTGCCCCCTACTTCCCTCCCTTGCAGGCCTGGACACCCACAACTGCCCTCCCCTGCAGGCCTGGTTCTCTCCAACTACCCTACCCTGCAGGCCTGGTCCCTCCCAACTGCTCTTCCCTGAAGGCCTGGGTTCCCCCCTACTGTCCTCCTCTGAAGGCCTGATCACCCCCAACTGCCCTCCCCTGCAGGCATGGATTCTGTCCTTCTCTGCAGGCCTGATTGCCCTCAATTGCCTTCCCTTGCATGCCTGGTCCCCCTACCAACTGCTTTCTTTGCCAGCCATCTTGTGGTAGCCATCTTGTGTCCACATAGGGGCAGCCATATTTGACCATATGGGGTGGCCATTTTGTATGTTGGAGTGATGATCAATTTGCGTATTACCTCTTTATAATATAGGATTATTATAGATTATTGCCAGAACTTGAATAATCTTTCTACTTCCACACTTTGCCATCCCCTCAGTTGGTTCTCAAGTCAGCAACTAGATTGATCCTATTGAAATCTAGTCAGATTAAGTCACTTCTCTGCTCAGAACTTCCACAGGATGACCACCTAATTTTCACAAAATGAAAACCAAATTCATTTCAATATCTTCTTATACAGTTTGGTCTTCTTCCCCTGTCTGACATAATTTCCTGTTACTCAGCTGTTCCAATCATATTTCTCTCCTTGCTGTTCTTCAGACACACCAGACATGTTCTTTCAAGAACATTGCACTTTCCATTTTCTCTGATACAGATGTTTGTTTTCCATTTATTTCTAGGGAGAGTGGAAGGGAGGGGGAGAGTCAGAGAGAAACATCAATGTAAAAGAGACACATTTATTGGTTGCCTCTTGCAGGTGCCCTGATCAGGGCTGGAATTGAGCCTACAACCCAGGTACATGCCATTGCTGGGAATTGAATCACTCCGTTAGTCCTTGACTAACTTAGATTTTAAATTGCATTCTTACCCTTAGTTCTCTTATTTTACCTGTTTGGTTTTCCCCATAATGGTATGAACATATGATGTGCCATCTATTTTGTCTATTTACTTTACTAGAAGCCCGATGCACAAAGATTCGTGCAAGAATGGGCCTTCTTTTCCCTGGCTGTTGGCACCACCTTTCTCCTACGGCCCTGGAGCCGCCTCCTTCTGCTCCAGCCCCACCTTTCCATGCTGCCCAGAGGCCCTGAGCAGCTGGGGTGGTATGGAACACCTGCTTTGTCACCACGGCGATGATTCAAGCATCCTGTCCCACCCCCAGTCGCTTGGTGCCGGTGTATGCAAATTAATCCACCATTTTTGTTGGTTTAGTTTGCATACTCCTGATTGGCTGGTGGGCGACCCAAAGATACGGTCAATTTGCATCTTTTCTTTTATTAGTGTAGATTTTCTGTTTCTCCAATGCAATATAATCTTTCTTGAGGCCAGGGTTTTGGTCTGTTTTATTCACTGATGTATTCCCAATAACTAGAAAAATGTCTAACACATATGTTGAATTATTGAATTGGACACTGTGTTACTTTATTATATTGGATAGAACCATCAGTTTCCTTTTCTTCTTTTTTCCTCTCCTAGGCTTCGACATAAAGCAGTGTGTTAATAAATTTTACACTGATTTCTACCAAATTTTATAACATTATTGAATCTTGGAAATTATATAATAAACTTACCATTTTAAAGTGTCCTCTTTTTCTGTGATGATGTTTGCTAAATCTCTAACATAAGTATGCTGTGATCAGAGACCAAACTTTATATGATTGCAATAATTTAAAATTTATTCTTGTGTTTCATGGCCAGAATATGGTTTCATTTTTATAAATATTCCATGTTCTTTGAGAAGAAAGTGTATTTTGCAGTTTTAAAGTGGAGTGTTCTATCTGTATTAGGTTGTTAACATGCTGTTCTTCTATCAGTTCTCAGTGCTTGGTTTATCAGTTACTGACAGAAGTGTATGTTTAAAAATCATTTACTATAAAAATATTTATCTGTTTTTATGATTTTTTTTTCAATTTTGATTTTACAATATATATTTTCAAGATATGTTATTAAGGGAATACAAATTTAGGGTACTTATATCTTCTTTGTGAATTGAAACTTACCATTTTGAAGTGTCCCTTTTTATCACTAGTCATGCTTCTTGCTACTTATATCCACTTTTTTTTGGTATTAGAATAGCTTCAAAATCACCCTTTTGTTTTTGTTGTCTTATTATATTTTTTTCTAGTTCTTCATTCTTCCTGTATTCTTATATTTAAAATATTTCCTTTTAGCATAATATTAGATTTAAAGATTCATAATCTTAGTCTTTTAATTGGTGACCCAAATTTATATACTGGGAAATAATTTTACCAAAAATATGAAATTAACTTTGGAAGCAGGGTGTAAGATAATAATCCCTAGTATTAATCTGATAAGATTAGTTCAAATAGTAAAAGTGGCAAATGGGTGACTTTTTTTTCTGAATATTGCTTTATTCATATTGATAGAGTTTGTGTAGCCTGGAAAATATTCAGAAAATTTTATCAAATAAGAAATCATTAGAAAGTTTTTTTTAATTCCTAAGTAACCACTTTACTTTTTTTCTTTTCTAGACTCAATGCTACTATGAAGGTTATGTTGAGGGATATCCGAATTCCGTTGTCATACTCAGCACGTGCTCTGGACTTCGGTTATGTATTTCCTACTGTTGATATGCCAACATCATAGTCATGATATTTGGCTGCATTGGATTTGTTTTGTTGATATTAAGTGTGAAGCTGGAAGAAAATTCCCATGTGGAGATTATTCAATTATACTCTGCTGTTCCTTTTACTTCTCACTGACTGGATAATTTCTTAACCTCCTTGAAAGTTTAGATTTTCTGGCATCCTTGTTCTCTCTCTCTATATATATTTTTTTCTTAACTATAGAAATGATAGTTGAACATTCTTGACTACAGGAAGATTGAAAAGCTAAATTTAGGATAGTTTATTTTTTTAGCAAACAGAATATTTTGATACCTACCATGTACCAGCTACTAGCCAATGTTTGGAAATATAGAGAAATAAATATAAAGGCATGCTTTTCTCAAGGAAAATTATTTTCAGAGAGATGAAGTCAATTCTGTATAAACAAATAATTATTAATATGGTATTCATTTTTCTAATAATATCAGTATCTTAAAGTCTCTAAGAATTGTAGGGTTTCATCCTTAGTGCTTAAAGCATTTCCCATTATATCAGGAAATTTTTCACTCTCAATTTGTAGCATAAGTTCCTTGATTAAAAAAAAAATGTTTTCTGTGCTTTTACATGTAACTTTGAAATTTGTCTTTTGGGGAGTAGTCACTTGAAATGTTACCTGTATTAAGGAATAAGTGTTACAAAAGTTGTTTTACTCCTTAAAATCTTGCTTTAAATTTCTTATTTAGACAATAGGCACAAACAAAATAAATACCTTTTCATAACTACTGTGAAATTTGTTTTTTAAATAAAATTGCTATATATATATATATATATATATATATATATATATATATATATATATATATATATATATAAAACCCTACATGATAGGTCAACTGTTTGACTGTTTGACCATTTGACCAGTCACTGTGTCACACACGGACCACCAGGGGGCAGACGCTCAATGCAGGAGCTGGCCCCTTGCAGTCAGTGTGCTTCCACAGCAGGTGCTCCCATGCTCAGGTGCCAGACATTGGGCTCATGGCTGGTGAGCACAGCTGCAGCAGTGCTCCTGAGGGGTGGCAGCAGGTGCAGTAGGGCCAGGATGAGTGGGAGTGGTGTTCAGCCTGGGCTCGGGCTCCTCCCCAGCTGCCTGCTGCTTTCCTGTACCACTATGATATCCCCTGAGGGATCCCAGATTGTGAGATGGCAGAGGCCAGACTTAGGGACCCCACTGGTGAACAAATCTGTTCACCGAGTCTCTAATTTTATTATGTTAGCACTTGTAATCATTTTTCTAAAGTAGTATAAACCAGAGAAAAATTCATCATGATTTCTGTATTGCCTTCTTTAAGTCACTGACTTGGAGGATGGGGAACTACTTGATCATTGTTAATTCTGTGCACTACACCTAGCATTCATTACATAATTTCTGCTGCATTTATAATCATAAAGTGAAATGAGAAATTAATTGTGTGGATTGGAGATGTTTTGTCTCTTCAGAGTCATATCCAAAATATAAAGGTTTTGGGTCAAAATATACTCAAAAATGGTCTGTATTTTCTTTTTTGATTCTGTCAGTTTTGTAAAAGTTGACCAAAAACACTTAAGTTTGTCATCCTTATTTTTACAGAGGATTACTGCAGTTTGAAAAGGTTTCTTATGGAATCGAGCCTCTTGAAGTCGAAGTTGAATTTCAGCATCTTCTTTATAAATTAAAAAACGAAAACAATATGTTTGCAGTTCATACTGAAAATAGCCGTAGCTTAGAACAAAAACCAATGGACTACAGCATTTTCATAAGTGAAAAAGTAAGTTGCATATACTTTATTACTATTTTTAAGATAGTTACTGCATTTTAAAATTTATTTTTAAAAAGTTTATTAACTTTATGGATAGTTATAGCAAATATCCTTTTCTTAAGAATAGCTTCATCTTTTCTTAGTCTTACAATTTTCCTTGAGTGATATATCAGCATATATCAGTGTTCTCTCTTGCAACAATCTATCTTTTACTTTTAATTCTTAACTTGTTTCTTATAATTTTCTAAAAATTAGTGTGTTTCAGTTTATGCTTTTATCTCTATGTTTCTGTGATTCAATAAAGCTAATATTTATAAAGGTTGCATTCATAACCAAAGAATCAATATTAATGCATTTATAGATATAATTAAAATGTCATAAGCAGAATTGTCATGTATAGCCATGTAAATTGGGCTCATGGCTGGTGAAAGCCTCTCCCACCTCCGCGAAGCCCTAAGGATGTCCAACTACTGCGGCCTAGGCCTGCTCCTTGCCTTCAGTTGGACATCCCCCGAGGGCTCCTGGATTGCAAGCGGGTGCAGGCCAGGCTGAGGGACCCACCCCCCCAAGTGCATGAATTTCATGCACTGGGCCTCTAATGTATACATATATAGACATCAAATCTTACACCTTAAATGCAGCTCTATGTCAACCATGCCTGAATGAAGGTGGAGAAAGATGTAAAAGTTTAGAATAAACAATTTACGAAAGCTTTTATGTTTTTAAATACCACTTTTCTTTTCTAGTCAGATTCAGCTCAAGACTTAATTCCTCTTTATGTAGAAATGCATATTGTGGTGGACAAAGTTTTGGTATGTGTTTTTCTTTTAAATATTTTATATGAATATGTGATTATACCTTGCTAGATAGGAACTTAAAGATTCTAATAGGTTTACTCTTAAATCATTGAACAGTGAAAACATTTGCAAACTGAAAAAAAACACATTGTCAAAATTATACTAGTTCTATCAGTAATTTTTTATTCGAAATCTGTACATGGTGCTTCATCTCTTTGGGCCTTCTGTCAACCTGTAATATTTTTAAATTGTAATATTTGTTTTACATTACATTTTTTAAGCTTTTAATTCTTGTTTGCACTTGAAGAGCCGTATATAGTCTAGAGAACATTTTGTCCTATAAAATATTTATTGGCACAAAAGTGATGGTAGTATAGCTATTTGTGGGAAATGTTTACTTTAATGTCAGGATTTTTTTAAAGCAGTATTTATTAGTGCACCTGTTCCAATCTATTGCTTATCTGGTTTGAACGCACCCCTAGATGCCTGATTCCCATAAACAATTTGAACACTTAGGAACTTCAGGACCTTGGAGTAATATGATAACTTGGTTTGTACTCAACCCATTCTGGTTTTGTTTCCCCTATTTTTCAAAGATTTCAGAAAACAGGGATAAAAATATATTTTCTAGATTTTGTTTCATTGATAAGCATTGGGTGTTACACCTGTGGACTACCACAAAGAATATAAATTATACTCATTACCAGTTCTATTTGTAGGATTGTAGAGCTTTGCCAGGAAACCAGAGTTGAAGGTCAAAGCCAGGTGAAATTTGGAGAAGGATATGATAATACTTGATTTATTCGAGTGTAGGGGAAAGGGTAAAGTGAACATTTAAGAGAAAATTGAGCTACTTCCAATAAATATGACTCAGTTTCCAAGTAATATTTTGGATTACCCTATGTAAATCATTTTGTTTCAAGATTATGTTATAAATTTTGAGAGTTGTTTTAAAAGTTCATTGTCTAAATTGTCAGGTTTGCCAACCATATAATGCTGATTAAATATATCCTTTCTATGTTCTTATACATACATATTTAGATATTCTTTAATAAACATTGATTGCCTCTGGTCTTATTTTGTTCCTTAATTGGTTTTGTTCATTAAATTCCACATATAAGTGAGATCATGTGAAATTTGTCTTTCTCAGACTGGCTTTCTTTGCTTATCATAATAATCTTCAGGTCTATCTGTGCTATTGCAAAGGATCAGAGTTCCTTCTTTCTCATAGCTACATAGTATTCCATTGTGTAGATGTAACATCTTTTTTTTTCTTTTTTTTTTTTTTTTTTTTATCTGCTCATCTACTGATGGGCACTTTGGCTGTTTCCAGATCTTGACTATTGTAAATTATGCTGCTATGAAAATAGGGGTGCATGTGATCTTTCTGATAGGTGTTTTGGGAGAATCACCACTTAAAAATATAGTGTAGTGATTGGATTGCTGGTGAGAAAATTGGAGGAGGAACTATTTAAAAGATTATTTCAATAATCAAGGTATAGTTTGTTAATAGGAATTAGTAATTGGAATAGAAATAAAAGGACAATTATAAAAGTTACTGATAAGATTGAATTAGAAAAGCTTGTAAAATTGATTAGATTTATCTGTTCACTTAAATTTATTGAGTATGATTACTTTTCTACTTATTGGCTATCCAGAAGTGAACAAAACAGAAAAAGTTCTGCTTTCGTGGAATGTGTAGTATAATAAATGTGGAAGGCCATAGATGATAGTACTACTCACTGTAGTAATGGAAATGTAAGTAGGAGCTGATTTTTTGGGTATGGATGAGGAACTTAGATTGGATATGTTTAATTTGAGGTTCATATGGAACATCAAAGGAATAGTGAACTTCAGAGTTATGATTTATAGATATAGGATTTGACATTTGTACTTCAGTATAATCTATTCAGATTTCAACAATCACATATATATAAATTTGTGTGTGTGTGTGTGTGTGGTTTTATGTGAAAGTATCACAAATGTAGCCTTGCATAACTACCCCACAGTCATGACATTCATACCATAACTACAAGATTCTTTTAATTTTTTTTTAATAACAGCCATCTCCTCTTCCTACACCTAACCCTGACAGTCACTAATCTGTTCTCTATATCTGTGATTTCAGCAGTATTGTATAAATGTTATCATGTAGTATGTATACTTTTGAGATTTCTTTTACACACAGCATACTTTTCTTGAGGTTTATCCAAGCTATTCCATGTGTCAAAAGTTTAGTTCCTTTTTATTACTGAGTAGTATTCCATGGTATGATTATACCACAGTTTATTTAACCAGTTAACCATTGATTGATATATGAGTTGTTTCTAGTTTTTGGATTTTATGAATACAACTGTTTTGAACACTTATGTGTAGGGTTTTTGTTTGTTTGTTTTTGGGCAGAGGTATCAGTTTTTATGTTGGGAGAATAAATGTCTTGGACTACAGCTGGGTTATATGGTAAGTCCATTATTTGTTTTGAAAAATATTCCAAAACTACTTTCCAGAATGGCTGAGTCATTTTACATTCTCACCAGCATACATGAGTGATTCGATTTACATCCATTTTTTAAAATTTGTTATTGGTTTATAATGGTTCTAACCCCAAAGCAGCCTCAATCCTCTGAAAGTAGATGGAGAGTAAATCTTAAACATGTTACATAACAAGTTTGTATTTAATTTAAAATTAATTTTGTTTTTCAGTATGATTATTTGGGCTCTGATAGCATGTTAGCAACAGATAAAGTCATTGAAATTATTGGCCTTGTAAATTCAGTGAGTATTTTCTTTTTCATACTAATTTTGAAAAAATCATACTAGTTTTAAAATTATAATTTTTATTAACTTGATGTGACATTTCTGAATAATTGTCCACATAAACTGAGCATAAATTTGTCAAAACATTGAATTGATTTCTCAGTCATTAAAAATAACACAAAGATAATTTTTTCATGTATTATCTCTTTTGTTTTTAGGTATTTGCTCAACTTAACGTTACTATTGTGTTGTCATCATTGGAGTTGTGGTCAGACAAAAATAAGATTTTCACAGTTGGTGAGGCAGATGAATTATTGCGGAGATTTTTAGAATGGAAAAAATCTTACCTTACCCTAAGGCCTCATGATATTGCATATTTATTCATGTAAGAATAATGTTTCAGTATTCTTAGAAAACAAAGAACTGAGATAATTTTGTAGCTTTATTTAGGGAATTTTATTTATTTCTGACTCTTCCAAAGGCAGAGGGGAAGGAAGTGTACAAAACAGAAGTTTTTCAGAAGCAAAAGCTAATGATCATCACTGGTTGACTGGCCTCACAAGAATGTTAAAGGGACATCTTTAGCTGAAATGAAAGTATAAATCTCACTGATATATCTATGTATCTCCAGACTTAATATAATATAATCTTATAAAGAGGGAAGAATGGTGTTAATCACTTATAAAGCTACTTATAAAGGTTAATAGACCAAAGTAGTAAAAAACAGTCATAGCTACGATAATTTGTTAAGATAAAAAGATTTAATTGTGACACCAAAAACATAAAATGTGAGAATGGAGGAAACAAAAATGTAATCTCATAGTATGTACAAATTGAAGTTGCTTTCATCTTAAAATAGACAGATACAAATATAAGTTGTTTTATCTAAGTCTCATGCTAACCACAAAGCCAAAACCTATAATATGTACACAAAGGATAAGATAAAAGGAATCTAAGCATACTGTTACAAAATAAATAAATAAATCCCAAAGAAAAAGAGTTAGAGAAGAGGAAATGAAGAGTTATAAACAGCCAGAAAAAAATGAATAAAATCACATTAAGTACATAGCTATCAATAATTACTTTAAATGTAAATGGAATGAAATATCTCTTCAAAAGAACAGCTAAACGTATAAACAATAAGACCCAAATATATGATGCCTACAAGAGACTCACTTCAGGTATAAGAATGCACACCAATTGAGTATGAAGGGATAGAATAATATATTCCATGCAAATGGAAACCAAAAGAATTCTAGGTTAACTATACCTATGTCAGATAAAATTTACTTTAAGGCAAAGAATATAAGGACAAAAAGATCATTATCTTACATATAATAATAAAAGCCTAGGAGGTGCCGTGCAATGTTGTCACAAGATGGCCGCCACAACATGGGTGCTACAACATGGCTGCCCTCAGGTCATCACAAGATGGTTACAATGAGATGGTCGCCACAAAATGGCCACCACAAGATGGTCACTACAAGATGGCTGGCAGGAAAAGGCAGCTGGGGGCGATTGGGCCAGCTGGGGAGGGCAGTTGGGGATGATCAGGCCAGCAGCGGAGCGGTTAGGGGGTGGGAATCAGGCTGGCAGGCAGAAGCACTTAGGAGCAATCAGGCAGGCAGGCAGGTGAGAGGTTAGGAGCCAGCAGTCCTGGATTGTGAGATGTCTGACTGCCAGTTTAGACCCGATTCTTGTGGGCCTAAACCAGTGGTTGAATATCCCCCAAGGGGTCCCAGATTGGAGAGGGTGCAGGCCGGGTTGAGGGGTCCCTTCCCCCTTGCACGAATTTTGTGCATTGGGCTCTAGTATAATGATAGAGGGGTCGATTCAAATACATATATGCTTATTTTTCTTGCCTGCTTGCTCTGGCTAGTACTTCTAGACAATACAGTGTTAAATAACATTGGTAAGAGTGGGCAACCTAGTCTTGTTCCTGATCTCAGAAGAAAAGCTTTCAGTTTTTCATTTTTTAGTATATCAGCTGTTGACTTGTCATATATGGCTTATATTATATTGAGATATATTCCCTCTATACCTATTTGGTTGAAATTATGATGGATGCTGAATTTTCTCTAATGCTTGTACCGCATATATTGAGATGATCATATGATGTTTATCCTTAATTTTGTTAATATGGATTATCACTTTGTTGTTTTTAGGTGTTGAACCATCCTTGCATCTCTGGAGTAATCCCATTTGATCATGGTGTATTGATCCTATTCAATTAAATTTGCTAATATTTTGTTGAGGAATTTTGCAATTATGATCATGATGGATACTATCCCATATATGTATATTTTTTCATAGTGTCCTTGTTTAGTTTTGGCATCAGGGTAATGCAGACTATGAAATAAGTTTGGAAGTGTTCTCTCCTCTCCTTTTTGAATAATAGTTTGATAATGGTTGATATTAATTATTCTTTAAATGTTTGGTACAATTCACTTGTAATGCCTTTTGGTCCTGGGCTATTGTTTTTTGGGAGATTTTTTTCCTTTAATTTTATTACTAGTGATTGGTCTGTTCAGATTATCTGTTTCTTTCTGGTTCAGTCTTGGATGATTATATGTTTTAAGAAATTTATACATTTTTCTAGGTTGTCCAATTTGTTTCATAATCTTCTTTAATGATCCTTTGTATTTCTGTGGTATCAGTTGAAATATCTTCTTTTTTCATTTCTGATTTTATTTATTTGTTTTTTTTCACCTTTCTTTTAGACTTGCCTGTCTAGAGGTTTGTAAAGTTTATCCTTTTAGAGAAGCCAGCTCTTAGTTTCACTGATTATTTTTTTCTATTTTTAGTCTCTGTTTCATTTATTTCCACTCTGATCTTTATTACTTTCTTCATTTTACTTACTTTGGTGTTTGTCTATTCTTCTTTTTTCTAGTTCCCTTAGTTGGAAAATTGTTTCTTTGGGATTTTTCTCATTTCTTGAGGTAGGCCTCTATAGCAGTGGTTCTCAACCTTTCTAATGCCACAACCCTTTAATACAGTTCCTCATGTTATGGTGATCCCCCCAACCATAAAATTATTTTTGTTGCTACTTCATAATTGTAATTTTGCTACTGTTATGAATTGTAATGTAAATATCTGTGTTTTCCGATGGTCTTAGCTTCTACAGCAGTGGTTCTCAACATATAGGTCACTAGCTGTTCAGTTAGTTCTCTAACACTGTTATCATGACCCAAAGGTTGAGAACTGCTAGCAAGGTTGCCTAAGACCATTGGAAAACACAGATATTTACATTATGATTCATAACAGTAGCAAAATTACAGTTATGAAGTAGCAATAAAAATAATTTTATGGTTGTGGGGTCACCACAACATGAGGAACTGTATTAAAGGGTCGTGGCATTAGAAAGGTTGAGAACCACTGCTCTATAGCTATGAACTTTTCTCTTAGAACTGCTTTTGCTGCATTCCATACATTTTGGAATGTTGTGTTCTCATTTTTATTTGTCTCAAGGTAGGTTTTGATTTTCTGTTTGATTTCTTCTTTGATATTTTGGTATTTAATAGGATGTTGTTTTTTCCCCATGGATTTGTATTTTTTCAATTTCCTTTCTATAGTGGATTTCTAGTTTCCTGCCATTGTGTTTAGAATAATGCTTTATATAATTTCAGCCTTCTTGAATTTATTAAAGCTTGTTCTGAGACTTACTGTATGGTCTCTTCTGTGGGAGAAATAATGGCTGAGGGCATCTTTCTTAGCACTGAGCAGTGCTGCTTTTGGGGAATGGTAACGTGACTAAATTGAAATTATTCTTACCTTCTTTGGAGCACCTATTCTTGGATTTTTAAAAAAATATATTTTTTATTGATTTTAGAGAGGAGAGGAGAGGGAGAGAGAGAGAGGTAGAAACATCAATGAGAGAATCATTAATTGGCTGCTTCCTGCACACCCCATACTGGGGATGGAGCTGCAACTGGGCATTTGCTCTTGACAGAAATCAAACCCAGGACCCCTCAGACCACAGGCCAATGCTCTATCCACTGAGCTGAACCTGCTAGAGCTATTCTTAGATTTTCTTTTTCACTCCAGTGGAGCACTGTGACCTTTCCCCTGGACTCTTGGACTCTCACAAAGTTATTCTCATCTGTGGGTGGTTGTTATAATCATTGTTGCTATGGGGACATGGCAGCTGAAAACTCTTAGTCTGCCATCTTGCTTATGCCAATCTACAAGATTAATATTAGTACATTATCTCCACTTGCTTGTAATTTACAAGAGAAAAAAGATTGGGGGAGGGTGGGATTAATTCAAAGTAACATTTAAAAGTCAAATTAAAGAAGTGGTAATTAAGTTAGAAGTGGGAAGGCAAAGTTAGGTACATTTAAATTCATATAAAGGAGGTTTAAAACATTCCAGGTTATGGAATCAATGAGACTAAAATAATTTCTGGTTATTTAAAAAACTATGCACTTACATATAAAATGTATTCTCATAGTTGGAACTATAGCTGAACCTTTGAAGGAGGTTAAGGATACCAGAAACATTGAAGAAGTAAATCATTAGATCCTGACAACTGTTTTGATATGGAGATTGGGTGGTGGGCAATATTAAGTAAAAACTATTATTGAGTCCAGCTCATCAATGTATGCATAGATTTTTTTTTTGGTGGGGGAAGTTACCTAATTAAAGAACTATCTTGTACAAAGAAAGAGTGTAAAGCCAAAGTTGGGTGTTAGGAGCAAATACTTGAAAACAAGTGCTGGAGGGGTTAAGTATAAACATAATAAAGCAGCAGTGGATACACCATTCAGTTGTGAAGTAAAGTGCAGTTGACACCAAAGGGGCACTTCAAATTAAGAATTGAATAGCAAGCTTGTTTACACATATCCTGGACTGTTTGTTTGATGGGGGTTCTAAAGATGACATTAATATTGGGAACTTCTATACCCTTGTTGTTGAGAGTATGGATCTGGATTCAAATTGTCTAAATTCCAGTCCTTTAGTGGCACTTATCAGTTGTGCTACATTAAAAACATTACCATATTTAGCATCTGATGTTTGATTTTTTAAAATGGGCATAAAATAATATATTTCACTGGCTTGAGTATTAAATGGAATAATTTATGTAGACCTCTTAAAATAGAGCTATTACTACACAATGATTTATATGGGCTCTTACTCAAAGCAGAAATAACATTACATTGTAGAATAAGAAAGTTATTCTTCTGAGAAACTGATGATCTTTTCTACATGAGGGTGAATATTTTCAATCCATATGTTAAAACTATTTGTTGTTGTCATTCAGAAGAATGTTTATAATTAAATTCTCTTATTAAAGGCTTTGGTATACTTAACCAAATGTTATGAGAATAGTAAAGGAAACCAACAAAACTTGGATTAATTGGATAAATTTTAGAAATTCAGTTTTCATTTAATTAATAAAACCTTCTTAATTTGAAACATGTACACATGGAAGATTATACCTCAATTTATTTCAGACTAGGATTTTATGAACTACAGATAAATTTTTAGCAGGAATTCTCACATTTGAAATATTTGTTGAAACAAATTATTAATGTACACTTATTTTATTTAGGTATAGAGATAATCCAGATGAATTGGGAGCAACATTTCCTGGAAAGATGTGTAGTGCTCGTTCTTCTGCAGGGATTGCTTTGGTCTGTAATTATTTTAAAATTATATATTTAAGAATTACCTAATAGCCTGGACCAGTTTGCCTCAGTGGATAGAGCGTCAGTCTGCGGACTGAAAGGTCCCAGGTTCGATTCCTATCAAGGGCATGTACGTTGGTTGTGGGCACATCTGCAGTGGGGGGTGTGCAAGAGGCAGCTGATCAATGTTTCTCTCTCATCGATGTTTCTAGCTCTCTATCCCTCTCTCTTCCTCTCTGTGAAAAATCAATAAAATATATTTTTAAAAATGTTTTAAAAAAGAATTACCTAATATTATAGCATTATTTTATATAGTTTACATTTATATTTATACTTAGAAATTGCATTTATTTTCAGTAACTTAAATATTTGAAGTATAAAAGAAAATTTGAAGCGTACAGAAGGAAACGTATTCTGTAGAACAAGTGTCTTGTAGCAATTATTTAGAAGTTAAAAGTGAAATAAAAATATTAAATGTATATGCATTATTTAACATATAGAATAGTGTATCATGAAATTATTGCAAAGAAATTTCTGTAATCCGAGTAGAATCTTGCTTATAGACATAAAGTTGGAGAAATAGTCTAACAGATAAAATAGCTTTAAAATAAAGACAAATGCAAAGGATAATAAAAAAAAATACAAAATATTTCAAATAGTATTTAGAACAAATTTCTATATGTATTTTAAATCTTTATAATACTGAAATATTTTATATAAATTATTTGAACGATTCGATGCATCATAGAAAGGTGAAGCAATTGTTGAGTCACTTACCTACTCTATTCATTCTTTAAAAAAACAAGTTTAAGACCAACTGGGGTGCTCAGTGGTTGAACATCAACCTATGAATCAGGAGGCCATAGTTCAATTCCCGGTCAGAGCACATGCCTAGGTTGCAGGCTTGATCCCCAGTGGGAGGCATGTAGGAGGCAGCTAATCAATGATTCTCGCTCATCATTGATGTTCTACCTCTCTCTCTACCTTCCTCTCTAAAATCAATATAATCAATAAAAATATATTAAAAAACAAGTTTAAGTAATATATATATTTTTAAGTTAGAAAGTAATTTTATTCATGTCAATTTTTTAAAGTACGTATGAGAACATATAAGGAAATTCATATAATCTGGCCTCTTCACATTCAGGAAGCAATCACTATACATATTTAGCCCACTCTGTTATGTATACTAGAGGCCCGGTGTACAACATTTGTGCATTGGGGGTTGGAGGGATCCCTCAGCCTGGCCTGTGCCCCTTTGCAGCCCAGGTCCCCGGGCGGGGTGGATGTCTGCCTGCCATTCTGAAAGGGAGAGCACTGCCTGCCTGATAGTCCCTGGCCACTCGCCTGCCTGCCTGATTGCCCCTCACTGCCTCTGCCTCCGCCCCCACCGTGGCTTCCTCTGAAAGAATGTCTGCAATAATGTCCGGATGGTCATTCAGCTGTACCACCTAATTAGCATATTACCCTTTTATTATTATAGATCTCCCATTTGGGATCATTTCCATTTTTCCTAAAGAATGTTATTTATAATTTTCCTTAGTGATATTGGTCTGTTTAAAATGCCATATGAAGGCAAGTGCTTTATTTCAGAAAGATAGAATAGGAAGCTGGAAGAAGCTCAGATCCCTAAAAATGAAGAAGCTTCTTTTATGTATGTGAGAAATTTCTATTTAAGTCATTTTTATGTTGAATTTTTTATCTCATGCAATTACATTGAATCCTAGAAATTTAGGAGTATTTCTTGTAAATAGAATAGAACTGAATAAATTTTCTCTATTGAATATGAAAATATCTATATTTTAATTTAAATTATAAATGTTATTTTGCTTATCAATAGTCAATAGTTTTGGAATTAATGTTATCACCTCATTTTCCATTTTCCCCCTGTTTGTTTCTTTGCCTCCACTGCTTTGCCACAGTCCAATATCAGTAAGGAAAATTATAAATAACATTCTTTAGGAAAAATGCATCTAGAGGCCCAGTGCATGGATTCATGCACGGTGGGGTCCCTCAGCCTGGCCTGTGGGGATCTGAACAATACTGTCAGACTGATATCTCCAGTGGGTGCCGGATTGCAAGGGGTGCAGGCCAGGCCAAGGGACCACACTGGTGCATGAATCCATGAGCTGGGCCTTTAGTAACAATATATTTTTATTCAATAGTTAATATTATTTATATATTCAAAATACTGTAAAATCCTATCTCTTGGTTTAATTATTAAATCACCCTGTATATAAAGTACTAAAGTTCTATAGACAATGAATATGAGAAGTGTACAGCTATTTTACATCTCTTATTTTTCATAGCACATAATAAATGGACATTATCTAAGGTAAATAGGTACTACTTAAATAATAAAATATAAATAACAAAAATAGAAATATTAAAAAGTAGCTTATGTATAATATGCATTACATAATATATGTATGTATATTTATAATACTATATTTTAATAAATATTTTTATATATATAAAAATGGAAATGATCCTAAATGGGAGATCTGAGCAGAGGGAATGAAGAGTAATAAAAAAATAGTTTGAATATGGCCTGCAAGCATCAATAATAGTTGTGTCTGGTGAGATCAAAAGAGACACAATATTAAATTCAAATAAGTGACAATAATGTATCATAGGTGACAGTCTGATAACATAGAATAAGCTGTGGCTGGAAAGCATGTGCCAATTTAGGGACCACATGTCTCTGACCTCATATAAGAGGGAGCCATGCTCCATGAATAGAGACAATGTGTTACTTGGATGGTGCAGTTAAAACTTGTGTGAGCCTTTCCCCTGGTGAGCTTAATGAAAAATCTATAATAATAAAAGGGTAATATGCTAATTAGGTGGAATAGCTGAACGACCTTCCGGACATTATTCCAGACATTCTTTCAGAGGAAGCCACGGTGGCGGCTGAGGCAGAGGCTGTGAGGGGCAATCAGGCAGGCAGGCGAGTGGCTAGGGGCTATCAGGCAGGCAGCTGCTCTCCCATTCAGGATGGCTAAGGTGATAAGAGCCATACTGTAATTGATAGTAAAACTTATTTACCATAAATCGTTAGTGATTAAAACAGCGGTAGACAAATAGATAATGGATTAGAATAGAGAGTTTAGAAATAGACAAATGATAGGCATTTAAAAAAAAAATCCTCACTTGAGGACATTTTTTCATTGATTTTTAGAGAGAATATAAGAGAGAGAGGGAAAGACAGAGAGAAATATTGATGTGAGAGGAAGACATCAATTGGTTGCCTCTTGCAGGTGCCCTGACCTGGGCCTGCAACCTTCCTGCTAGGGAGGATCCTGCAACCAAGGTATGTGCCCTTGATTGGAATCAAACTCTGGATCCTTTGGTCTGCTGGCTGATGCTCTATGCATTGAGCCAAACTAGCTAGGGCTATAATAAAATTTTTACAAAGATGATTTTCATGTACAATACTTGCTAGTGGGCAATGTTTTTATTTTATTTTATTGAGCTATTATTGGTATATTATATTATACTTATAAGTTTCGGGTGTACAACATAATTTGACATCAGTATACACTGCAATCTGATAACCAAAAGTCTGATAATAGTGGATAGTTTTTTTTGATAAATGTAATTTCACTTTTATTCAAAATATAAAACTTAGGTAGATTGTAAAACTATATGTAAAATTAAACATAAATTCTTGGAAGGTAAAAAAGTAACATAGCTTCATGATATGGCATAGGGAAAGTTTTATTAAAGTGGACACACAAAAACACTAATGATAAAGGATGCATTACACCACATCAAATTAAGGAAATTTTGTTCATGAAAAGACATTAAGAGAGTATAAAAACAAGCCACGGAGTAGGGAATGTATTTGCAATGCATGACTAAGAATTACTCTCATACAGAATATATAAATCACAAATCAATAAAAAGGCTAATGCAATAGAAAATTTACAAGATATTTAAATACTTCACACAAAAAGCCAATTTGTCAGAAATATATGAGATGCAAGTTAAAACTTAATGAAATATTTACCTTATGCCCATAAGAAATGATAACAAAAAACAACACTAAGTGTACTATTTTCCTTGGCAAGGAGGTTATATGTGTACTTGTTAAATATATAAGAAGCCTAATGGAAGAATGTGATTTCCCTTGATACCAGTTCCTATGTCATTGAGAATGCTAACAGGAAGCAGATATCACACTTAAACTCAGTGTTTTGTCATGTGGGCACTTCATAAGCTCAGAGGTGGATATTATGTGGATTATTTTAAGTGTACATAAGAGCTGTCATAAGAAATTAGGTAACTTTTGAAAAAATAAATCGTTATTGTTCAGATTATTACAAATGTGTTCCTCTTCCGTGCCCCCTCCTCAATTGCTCCCCTCCACCAGGTTCCCACTCCACCCTCTGTCCTTTCCCCATTACCCATTGTCCTCATCCATAGGTGCACAGTTTTTGTTCAGTCTCTTCCCACACCCCCACTCCCTCTTTTCCTGAGAGTTGTCAGTCCACTCCCCTTCCATGCCTCTGATTCTATTATATCCACCAGTTAATATTGTTCATCAGATTTTTTTAATTCCCTTGGTTTTTAGATTCACTTGTTGATAGTTAGGTATTTGTTGTTCATAATTTCTATCGTTATCTTCTTCCCTTTCCTAAAGAACCCCCTTCAGCAATTCATATAATTCTGGTTTGACGGTGATAAACTCTTTTAGCTTTTTTTTTATTTTTATTTTTTTATTAGTGAAGCTCTTTATCTGGCCTTTGATTCTGAGTGATAGCTTTGCTGGGTAGATTATTTTTGGCTGTAGGTTCTTGCTATTCATCACCTTGAATATTTCTTTCCATTCCCGTCTGGCCTGCATGGTTTCTGTTGAGAAATCAGCTGACAATTGTATAGGTGCTCCTTTAAAGGTAACTACCTGCTTTTCTCTTGCTGCTTTTAATATTCTCTCTTTGTCTTTTGCTCTTGGAATTTTAAGTATGATGTGTCTTGGTGTGGTCCTCTTTGGATTCCTTTTGTTTGGGGTTTTGTGCGCTTCCTGGACTTGTAAGTCAATTTCTTTCAACAGGTGGGGGAAGTTTTCTGTCACTATTTCTTCCAGTATGTTTTCGGTATCTTGCTCTCTCTCTTCTTCTGGGACCCACATAATTCTGATGTTGGTTCGCTTGAAGTTGTCCCAAAGGTTTCTTACATTATCTTCAACTTTCTGAATTCTTTTGTCTTCTTGCTTCTGTGGAGGAGTATCTTCTGGCTCTTTTTGTTCCAAATCTTTGACTTGATTCTTGTGATCTTCCATTCTGTTTTTAGGACTCTGTATAACATTTTTTATTTCAGACAATATATTCTTTATTTATAGTTGATCCCTTTTCATATCCTCATAGGTCTTGTTTATTTTATCGGCCTTTTCTAGGAAATTCTTGAAAAACCTTATAAGCGTGGTTTTGAAATCTATATCCAGTCGCTTTTTGTCCTCCATTTTTTTCATTTGTGATCGTTTCCTTGTCTCGGCATTTTCACAGCTTCCCTGAGTTGGTAGGGTGGCTTTGTGTGCTAAGGTGTCCTATATGATTCAGTGGGTCAGCCTCCCAGTTACCTGAGGTGGACACTCTTGATGCACCCCTTTGTGGACTATGTGTATAGCCTTATTGTAGTTAAGTCTTGATTGTTGTTGGTATCACTGGGAGCAACTGACCTCCAGGCCAATTGGCTCTGAGGATCAGCTGTGTCTATGCTGGGAGACAGCCTTATTTGACTAGACTTGGAAAATTGCAAAAGCCTCTGTGCTCAGCTTGGATGGGGCGGAGTTTCAGGGTGGATCCTACAGCCTTGGCTTCCTGTCAGTCCTGCCCTGTGAGGTTCCTGAGTCTCAGTGTTCCTCAGTGTCCTTTGGTACTCACTGCAAGCACCTCTGAGAAAAAGGTGCCCAAGAGTTTCGCCCGCTACCAGACAGTCTAGTCTCTCCCCCAATGAGCCTGGAACTGGGGTTCAGTGCAGTTGGAAGTGGGGTTGGTAGTGGGGTTCAGTGCAGTCTGGAGCTTTTGTCTCCTTCCCACTAGGGTAATCCAGCGGCACAGTCAACAGTCTGTCCTTTGTGCTCAATATGTGTGCCTCCAGGACTCTGCCTTTCGCCGCTCCCCTGAGTTTCTGCTTTACAGCCCAGATTCCATCCATATGAGCCTGAGTCCCCAGGGTTTGGCCTACAACTGGGATTCAGTGTAGTCAGAATTGGGGTTCAGCACAGTCTGGAACTTTTGTCTCCTTCCTGCTAGGGCAATCCAGTGGCACAGTCAACAGTCTGTCCTTTGCGTGCAACCGGCATGCCTCCAAGACTCTGCCTTTCTCCGTTCCACTGAGTTTCCGCCTTACAGCCTAAATTCCCTCCGTATGAGCCTGGGTCCCCAGGGTCTCGCCCAGAACTTGGGGTTCAGTGCAGTCTTGTAGAAGGCCAAATGGGAAGACAACAATCTATTCTTTAGATTGTTGCTGACTGGGCCTGGGATATTGGTGGAGTCATGTTAGTTGAACTCCCACCCTGTGAGTGTGGAGATGTTCTTAGTTCCTGGCTTGTGTTTGTCCAGAGGAAGGAGTGGGTGGGACCTGGGCCCTCCCAGGCTCCTTGTTTTCCTGTGAAACCCCCTTGTTGGATTGGAGAATTAATAGATGTGCTGCGTGGCTTAGGAGGTTGTCGTCTGCCTGTCCAGCAGAGTAGTTCAGTGGCCCTACCAGCTCCCAGCTTAAAATCTATCTCTGTATCTCCTCTCTCTCTCTCTCTCTCTCTCTTTCTCTCTCTCTCTCTCTCTCTTTCTTTCTTTCTTTTTTTTTTTTTTAAGTTAAAGAAATTTTTATTAAAACGTTTCTTACATACCATTTTATTGGCTGGGCTGCAAAAAATATCCATTGTGGGCCACATGTAGCCCGCAGGCTGTAAGTTTGACATGCTTGCCCTAGGACATTGTGACCCAGGTTTAAATGGCCAAATTATTAAAAGGCTTCAATGTGACTAAAAATAGTGCATTAGCTTGCCAACCTTGTTTAACATTTTTCAAGGAGATTCCCCTTCAGGAATGTTTGAGGAGCCAGGTTTTTGGGTGTTTTTTTGTTTGTTTGTTTTTGTTTTTTTTTTTTATCTTTCTCCCCAAGTAAATTTTATTGCATGTTTATTTTATTTTCAGCCGTGATACATTTTCACAGGAGAATATACCAAAGATATAGATAAACATGGAAAGAGAAATTAAGGTCTCCATACTGTCACTGCCTGCTATATTTCTCTTTATTTCTATTATTTCTCAATCCCTGGCTGCCTCCACTTAGAACCGGTTCATTCATCTCTCTTTCCATGCGGGATGCGGAAAAGGGAGATCCCACCAGATCAAGACCCCTGCACAGTCGGAACTGGGGTTCAGCACAGTCTGGAGCTTTTATCTCCTTCCTGCTAGGGATCGCCAGCCAGGCACTCAGCTGCCCCCTCCTCTCAGGCTCAGTCCTCTCCCCACGTGTGCATCGTGTGCATCGTGTCTCCGTACCTTAGGTTTTGACAGCTCCTCCAATTTTCCTTCTGGTTTTCTCTTTCCTTATAGTTGTAGAATTTCCAGTCAGTCAACTTTCCTGGAGTTCTGGATAATGTCCATTTTGTATTTTAGTTGTATTTTTTGAAATTGTTGTGTGAGGCTGCAGGTAGGCATTTACCTATGCCGCCATCTTGGTTTCTCTAGAAATTAGGTAACTTGAAGATCATGGTTCAGATAGCCAAAATATAATTTAAAACAGCCCTTTTATATACTTATTTTGTTAATTATGCAAATGTTTAATTAGGGTAAAGCCTGGCACCAACTCAATATGCTTATCCTATATAATAAAAGGGTAATAGGCAAATTGATTCAATGGTGGAACAACTGGTTGCTATGACACACACTGACCACCAGGAGGCAGACACTCAATGCACAATGCAGGAGCTTCCCCCTCGTGGTCTGTGTGCTCCCATGGGGGAGCGCTGCTCAGCCAGAAGCGGGCTGATGGCTGGCAAGCACCGCAGTGTCAGGAGCCTCTCCCAACTCTGCGGCCACGGGGGCGGGCCTAAGTCATCAGTTAGACATCCCCTGAGGGCTCCCAGACTCTGAAAGGGCACAGGCTGGACTGATGACCCCCCACCCCCAATGCACAAATGTCGTGCACCAGGCCTCTAGTATCTCAGTAAAATTTCATAAAAAGAGCATCTGCTTCTCACCTGTCCAAGGGGCTGTATTTACCTATTCTTAAAGTACTTGAACAATAAAAATGTTCAAAATTAGGAAAAATATTTCTAACACCCTTCAATAAATTGTCTTTCATTTTCATTTTCTTTGTTGTTAATGCAGTATTTCGAGGATATAACTTTGGAGGCATTTTCAGTAATTGTTACCCAGATGCTGGGACTCAATCTGGGAATATCATACGATGACTCAAATAAGTGCCAGTGTTCAGGAGCTATTTGTGTAATGAATCCCGAGGCTGTGTAAGTTTTTAAATGCTATTTAAAGATTTATTTATTATGTTCATTTTTTTTAAACATTTGAAGCACAACTATAGTGTTTACATATAGCACACAAAATCTATAAATGGACCAACTACTATGAAATATAAACAGAAAATAGTCAGTGTAAGAGGAGCATGGAGGGAGATGTACTATTAAGAAGAGTCAAGGATAACAATTCCAATCTGCAAGATACATTATCAGACAAAATAAACTTTAGAACAAATGCTATAAAAGAGACAAATGAGAATATAATGATAAAGAGAATCCTATCTAATAAAAGAGTAACATGCAAATTAACCATCACTCAGCTACACCCATAAGCCACACCCACCAGCCATGCCCACCAGCCAATCAGGAGCAAATGTGCAAATAAACCCAACCAAAATGGCTACAGCCACAGAGAGCAGGAGGTTTCCCAGGCAAAGGAGGAAGCCAAGTTTTCCGCCTGCCCTTGCTGACTTAGGCCTCTACTCAAGGCTACAAAGTTTCAATTACAGAAGGTAAACAAACCAAACAGAAGTGGTGGCAGCCACAGAGCTTGAAAGAATGGGAGCTAGGGTTTCCCCAGGCAATAGAGGAAGCCAAGCTTTCTGCATACCCTGGCCTGTCCAGGCCTTTGATCCAGGCTACAAAGTTTCAGTTATAAAAGATACATAAACCCCAATAGAAATGCTGCTGCCAAGGAGCAAGCAGAAGGCTTGGCTCCACTCTAGGCTACAAAGTTTCAATTGTAGAAGATAAATAAACTCCAGATACCAGGGCCTCTACTTGGGTCACCAGAGGGTGTGTCTGGCCTGCAAACCATCACAGGCCCCTCACCCAAAGGGAACCCCACCCTCATCCAGGACATCCTTCAGGGCAAAACAACTGGCCCCCACCATGCACCAGGCCTCTATCCTATTTAATAAAAGAATAATATGCAGATTGACCATCACTTCAACACACAAGATGGCTGCCCCCATGTGGTCAAAGATCCTGCCCCATGTGGACACAAGATGGCTAGAAGGGGAGGGAAGTTGGGAGGAACCAGGCTGGCAGAGGAGGGAAGTTGGGGGTGACTGGGCATTCAGGGAAGGGCAGTTGGGGGTGAACCAGGTCTGCAGTGGAGAGCAATTGGGGGGACCAGGCCTGTAGGGGAGGGCAGGTAGGGGTCACCAGGCCTGCAGGGGACAGCAGTTAGGGACAAACAGGCTGGCAGGGGAGCAGTTAGGCATCAATCAGGCTTGCAGGGGAATGGTTAGGGGCAATCAGGAAGGCAGGCAAGCAGTTGGGAGCTAGCAGTCCTGGATTGTGAGAGGGATGTCCAACTTCTCATTTAGGATCGGGCCTAAATGGGTAGTCAGACATCCCTTGAGGGGTCCCAGTTTGGAGAGGTGCAGGCTGGGCTGAGGGACACATCCCCCCCCCCCCCCCCCCGGACCAGTTTCATGCACCGGGTCTCTAGTAATCCAATAAGAGGATATAACCCTTGTAAACACCCAACATAGGAGCACCTAAATAAATAAAGCAAACTGATAGTCATACAATGAAAGATCAACAGTAACATAGTCATACAAGGGGATTTTAATATATATACTCAGAAATGGGAATTTTGGATCATATGGATTGCTATATTTTTAATTTTTTGAGGAACCTCTCTATTTTTTTTGTAGCAGCAGTGCCAATTTACATTCCCATCAATAGTGTTCCAGGGTTTCGATTTCTTTACAACCTTACCAGTAGTTACTTTAAAAAAAAAAAATGAGCCATTCTGACATGTATGAGGTGATATCTCATTGTGGTTTGGACTTGCATTTCCCTAATTTTAATGACTTTGTGCATCTTGCACTTTGTGTCTTCTTTTTAAGCCTTTATCCATTTTCTAGTCCGTTGTTTGTTTTTGCTATTGAGTTGTTTTCATAAGGACATGTATTCCAGTGATTAAATCATATGATTTCCTCAATAACAATTTTGGCCTCTAAGCTTTCATTATGAACATTTAGAATTTTTTTTTTATTGAATTTTGTGTTTTGAAATTAATTAATCTATATGATAGAATTTTTTTTTTCAAGAGTATGTTGCAACAACATTATACGGATTTATCTTTAGGCAGTCCAGTGGTGTGAAGACTTTTAGCAATTGCAGTTTGAGTGACTTTAAAAGCTTCACTTTAAATATGGACGCCAAATGTCTTCAGAATAAGCCACAAATGCAAGTGCTTCCAAGAGCAGTCTGTGGCAACGGCAAAGTGGAGACTCCTGAAGATTGTGACTGTGGTACTGAGGATGTAAGTCTGATAACTAGGAAAATTGATAAGTACATTTATTGTCACAGTTAATCTCTTTGTGAAGTTAAGGTTGAAATACATGCAAGAATATGCTGTCTAAGTTATATACATGAAAAAGCTTTGAGCAAATATAAAATGTACTCCAAAAAATTAATGCTGATGGAAAAAAATGGGAGTTTAGAATGAGGTTTCTAGTACCAGACTGAATATATAAGATCTTTCCAAACCTACGCTTAACCTTTGGACATTTTATAAATGTCTTATTGAATATTGATGTGATAAAGGGCTCTCAAGTATCCTTTAGGGTCTGACTTCTCAAGAGATATCTGTGTTAATATTACACTCGGAACAATTGGGGGATTTTTATGGGAAATCCTGAAACTCTGAATGCAAAATGTCTAGGATATAATGATTCTAGAAAATGAAGTATTTGTACCAATACAGCAGATGTCATAAATTTCTATGATTATAAAATAAATAGATGGAAATAATATTAGGGTTTGATATGTACATGGATTTGAATATACTTGTGTATATATCTTATTGTTTTAACTACTATGCTTTTTTTTTTGGTATTATATTTTACCATTTGGTAGAACAAGTTTTCTCTCTTTACTCTTTATTTTTACTGGGGCATAATCTACATACAATAAAATTTACTAATTTTAAATATACAGATTGATGAATTTTGACAAATTTATATAAGCATTGGTGCTGATTTTTTTTTTTTTTCATTATAACCCAAACTTGGTCATTATACCCAAAAGTTGCAGTCATTTCCACCTATTCTCAACTTCAGACCACTTCTGATTTTGACAGTTTTACTTGATCAAGAAATTCATATGAGTCCTGGCCAGTTTGCTCAGTGGCTAGAGCATTGGCCTGAACACGAAAGGGTCTTAGGTTTGATTCTAGGTCAAGGGCATGTTCCTGTGTTGCAGGTTTGATACCTGGCCCTGGTCAGGGCTTGTGTGGGAGGTAACCAATCCATGTGTCTCACATTGATACTTTTGTTGGTCCTGCTCCCTTCTTCTTTCCTTTCTCTCTAAAAAATCAATGGAAAAAATATTCTTGGGTGAGGATTAACAACAAAAAAAGTCATATGAAAGAAATCATACAACACATATTCTTTGTATCTAGCTTCTTCCTTTCAATACAGTATTTTTTGAGATTCAGCCACATTGTTTTATGTCATACTAGTATTTCCTTTTTGAGTTATATTTTATTGTTTGGATATACCACAATCTGTTTTCCCATCCATTTAATAATGACCATTTGAATAAAAAGAGTAGTAATATGCAAATTAACCATCACTCCGATACACCCACAAGCCACGCCCACAGCCACCCCCACCAGCCAGTCAGAGAAAATATGCAAATAAACCCAACAATGATGGCTATAACCACAGAGAGCAGGAGGAAGGCATAGGTTTCCCCGGGCAATGGAGGAAGTCAAGCTTTCCACATACCCTGGCCAGCCTAGGCCTCTCCTCAAGGCTACAAAGTTTCAATTATAGAAGTGACCAGACACTTAGCATATTAGGCTCTTATTACATAGGATTAAGATTAGGATTATGACAGGAGTCGTGAGATGGGGCATCTTGGCCTTGTTCCCAGTCTAAGGGGAAAGTCTTATCTAACCATAACTATGATGTCAGCTGTAGACATTTTAGTTGTAGTTTATAATCCTCAACTGAGGATATTTTCCCCCCATTTATTATTATTATTTTTTAAAGTAAAAAGGCAGCAGGGTAGGGGCTGAGAAAAAAATCATTGTGAAAGAGATATCTATTAGTTGCTTCCTACACATGCTCCAACCAGTGTCAGGGATTGAACCTGCAACCCAGCTTTGTGTCCTTGACTGGGAGTCAAATGCACAATCCTTTGGCACATGGGCCAACCATTGAACAAAACTGGTCAGGGCTATAGATGTTTTTTAGATTTTGTCAGATTGAGAAAGATTCTCTTTATTTCTGTTTTGGTAACATTTTGTATAATAAATCTGAGTTGTATTTTGTCTGATGTCTTTTCTATGCCAGTTGTTATTCTATCTAATACAAGGGTAGCATGCAAATTAACCATCACTACATCACAAAGATGGCGGCACCCATAGCCACAAGATGGTGGTGCCCAGTCCCCTCAGCCTTGCTGGAGTACCCCAGTCCTTGGGGGGCTGCCGCTGAGAGCGGGCAGCATGAGTGGCCTGGTGGAATGCTTGCTTTGTTGCTGTGGCGACAAAGGGCCTTGGGCAGTGGGCACAGAGCAGCCAGGGCAGGATACTTGCTTTGTTGTTGGAGTGATGACACCTGGGCCACGGAGGATGTCTGGGGGACATGGAGGCCAGCTCGCAGCATCTGCAGCTGAGCACAGGCCCAGAGAAGAGATGGTGGGTCCACTTCCCATGGAAGCAGCACAGCTCCTGTCAAAGCAGCATGGCTCCTGGTGGTGCACTGCGGTTCCCACCAACTCCCGTGGAAGCAGTGGGTGGCCTACTGTGTGCAATATCACCTAATGGGCTACTAGTGGTCATATGATTTTTCTTCTTCAACCTGTCAACTCTGTGGATTATATTAATTGATATTTGAATTATGAGCCAGCCTTGCATACTTTGATAAATCCCACTTGGTTGTGATGCCTATTTTATATACATTGCTGGATTTGATTTACTAATTTTTTGTTGAATATTTTTGTGTCCATGCTTATGAGAGATATTGGTCTGTAATTTTGCTTTCTTATAATGCCTTAAACTGGGTTTGGTATTAGCATTATAGTGGCCTAAAAGAATGAGTTAAGAAGTGTCACACATCAGTGCTTGGGGTGTAGTATGTCTATGATTCCATGGGTTAAAGGTAATAGGAAATCCATATTTAGTGCTTCTCTGGGATTCTGTCCTAGGTGTTTTTTCTCTTGGTTGATTTTAGTTTGTATCCTTTCCATATAAGAAACCAAAACTGTGAATATACCAGCAATCAGTGAAATGTGTGAATACACCAGCAATCAAGAAATTATCAAAACTGAGGGTGGTTTTGGGACTCCAGTGAACTGGTGATTCCTGTAAAATGCAAGGGCAGTCTTAGGGACCACTTTCTTTACCTTTGTAGTGGGTCTAAATTCTACACACACTCACCGCCCCAGATTTATTGAGGTATAATTGATAGATAAAAATGATATATACTTAAGGTATACAGCGTGTGGTATTTTGATATATGTATACATTGTGAAGTGATTGCAACAGTCAAATTAACATCCATCACCTTGCATAGTTATCGTGTGTGTGTGTGTGTGTGTGTGTGTGTGTGTGTGTGCGCGCGCGCGCACTTGAGAATGCTTCGTCCTCCTATCAAATTTCAAGTTTACAGTCCATTATAGTTAACTGGAGTCATCATGCTGTCTATTAATTTCTCAGAATTAGTTCATTTTCTAAATAATTTTCTATTTTTTGATCAATATCCCCCTTTACCTCTGACTCGCCTACATTCTACTCTCTTACTATTATCCAGTTTCTGAAAAAAAGTATACATATATTTTGTATAGTATTCTAGTTTGTTAAGTGTTAGTGGGGTTCCAGTTATTCTGATTTGACCTGAAGTACCTTAGTATTTTAATAGTTTAGAAATGTAAAAATCTAAAATTTATAAGCATTCATATTCTTTTCCCAAACTAAAAAGCCCAGTAAATATAGCTCCAACCAAAGTTTATATTGTTAAAACGTATTTTTATTTGTATTTCACTCATTCATAGCAATGCGGACACGATAGCTGTTGTGATCCTCAACGTTGTGTGCTGAAACAAGGATCAAATTGTGATTTAGGATTATGCTGCAGTAGCTGTCAAGTAAGATTTAAGTTTATTAATATTATCCAAGTGTATAATGAATCATATCTGGGATTCTTTCTTTCTCCTTTTATTTTTTATGTTTTTCTATCACCACTTATCCCCTATATACCCTCTTCCACCTACACCCACTTCCCCTCCCTGCCCCTCCAATGGTAACCTCTGTTGTCCGTTTCCATGAGTTATTTTTCTTTATTTCTTTTTTCTCAATCACTTCACCACTAACCCTCCCTCTCCCCCCCTACATACACACAAACATCTGCCTGATATATATGAGTCTACCTTTATTTCATTCAGTTTGTTCATTGGATTCCACATATGAGTGAAATCATTGTCTTCTTCTAACTGGCTTATTTTACTTAGCATAATGTTCTTTAGGTCCGTTCATGCTGTCGCAAAGGGCAAACTTTTCTTCCTTGTTAGGATGAGTGGTATTCCTTTGTGTAAATGTACCATAGGTGTTCTATGCACTCATCTGCTGATGGACACTTGGACTGTTTCTAAATCTTGGCTATTGTAAATAATTCAATGATATAGGGGGTGCATATATTCTTACGAATTAGTGTTTTGGGTTTCTTTGGATAAATTCCCATAAGTAGAATTGATAAGGCAATTCCACTTTTAATTTTTTGAGGTAACTCCCTACTGCTTTCCATAATGGCTGCTCCAATTTGCATTTCCACCAACAGTGCATAAGGGTTCCCTTTTCTCTACATCCTCACTAACACTCATTGTTTGTTGATTTATTGATCATAGCCATTCTGACAGGTGTGATTGATACCTCATTGTGGATTTAATTTGGGTTTTACTGATGATTAGTGACTTTGAGCATCTTTTCATACGTCAATTGGCCATCTGTATGTCTTCTTTGGAGAAGTCTATTCAAGACCTTTGCTCATTTTTTTAAGTTGGATTGTTGTTCGTGTGTGTGTGTGTGTGTGTGTGTGTATTGATTTTTATAAATTATTTATAAATTTTGGACACTAATTCCTTATCAGATGTATCGTGAATATGTTCTCCCATTCAATGGATTGTCTTTTCATTTTGTTTATGGTTTCTTTTGTTCTGCAAAACCTTTTTAATTTGATGTAGTCCCATTTGTTTTCTTGTTGTTTTGTTTCCCTTATCTGAAGAGTTATATCAGAAAAATAATTGCTACAAGAAATGTCAGAGATTTTACTGACTATGTTTCCTTCTAGGATTTTTTTAAAATGTATTTTTATTGATTTTAGAGAGGAAGTGAGAGGGAGAGAGAGAGAGAAACATAAATGATGAGAGAGAATCAATGATCAGCTGCCTCTTGCATGTCCCACACTGGGGATCAAGCCCACTACTTGGGCATGTGCCCTGACCAGGAATCAAACTGTAACCTTCTGGTTCATAGGTCGACACTCAATCATTGAGCCATTCTGGCTGGGCTCCTTCTATGATTTTTATGGTTTCAAGTTTAACATTTAAGTTTTTTTTTTTTAATCCATTTTAAATTTATTCTTATGTATGATGTAAGAAGGTGGTCTAGTTTTTGTTGTTGTTTGTTTTTTGTTTGTTTTTTGCATGTATCTGTCCAATTTTCCCAACAACATTTATTGAATAGAGTGGAATAGAGGCCTGAAGCACGGATTCATGCACCAGTGGGGTCCCTCAGCCTAGCCTGTGGGAATCAGGCCAAAACCAGCAGTCCAACATCCCCAAGAAGTCCTGGATTGCTAGAGGGTGCAGGCCAGGCAGAGGGACCCCACTGGTGCACAAATCTATGCACTGGGTCTCTAGTATGCATATAAAATCTTTGGTTAATCTCTTTTCACCCTCTCCCTCTCCCCTCTTCCCTCTGAGATGCATCAGTCTGTTCCATGTTTCCATGCCTGTGCATTGAGCATCTGCCCCCTGTTGATCACTCTGCATCATAGCTACAGGTCAAATGATTGAAAAGTTGACTGGTCAGGCACTTAGCATATTAGCCTTTTATATAAAGAGATTATCTTTAGCCCTTTGTATGTTTTTGCCTCCTTTGTCAAATATTAATTGACTATAAAGGCATGGGCTTATTTCTGGGCTTTTTATTTTGTTCTATTGATGTATATGTCTGTTTTTATGCTGTTTGATTTCTATGGCCTTGTAGATAGTTTGATATCAGATAGCATTATTTCTCTAACTCTGTTCTTTCTCAATATCACTGTTGCTATTTAGGGTCTTTTGTGATTCCATATAAATTTTTGGGAAATTTTTTCTAGTTCAGTGAAATTTGACATTGGTATCTTGATAGGTATTGTGTTGAATCTGTAGATTGCTTTGGATAGTATAGACATTTTAATGATTTTAATTTTTCCTATTTATTAACATGATATATGCTTCCACTTATTTGTATCTTCTTCAATGTCTTATAATTTTCTGAGTATAGGTCTTTTACATCCTTGGTTAAATTTATTCTTTTTGAAACAACTGTGAATGGGATTGCTTTTTAGTTTCCCTTTCTGATAATTCATTACCCTATCTAATAAAGAGGGAATATGCTAATTAACCCTCACACCATCCTCAGCCTGCCTCTGCAGTCCCCCAGTCCCCTCAGCCCTCCAGCCACCCAGGGCCAGCCCAAGGCACAGACAAGCCTCAGATTGTGGCTACCCAGCCGCCCGAGGATCAGGTAACCAGGGTCGACTGAGATTTGTGCTGCTGGTAGTGGCAGCAGCAGAGGTGTGATGGGTGTTGCCTTCCCCTGACTGCCAGGTCATTTCCCACACCCAAGGGCTCCTGGACTGTGAGATGGGGCAGACTGGGCTGAGGGATTCCCCCTTCCAGTGCATGAATTTTCATGTACCTGGCCTCTAGTTAGTATATAAAATGCAACTGATCTCTGTATATTTATTTTGTATCCTGATACTTTGCTGAATTCATTCATCAGTTTTAGTTGTTTTTAATGGGGCATTTAGGGTTCTGTATATACATTATCATGTCATCATCTGCAAATAATCATAGTTTTACTTAATTAAAATTTTTTTCTTTACTGATTAGGTGAGGTATTACATATGTGTCCTTATCCCCTTTGTACCCCACCCCCACTCATGCCCTCATCCTCATGGTATCTGTGTCCAGTGGTTAGGCTTATATGTATGCATATAAGTCCTTTGGTTGATCTCTTCCCCTTACCCTCACTCTCCCCTACATTCCCTCTGAGGTTTGACAGTCTGATCGATGCTTCTGTCTCTGGATCTGTTTTTGTTCATCAGTTTATGTTGTTCATTATATTTCATCAGTGAATAAAATCATGTGATATTTTTCTTTCTCTGACTGGCTTATTTTTTTATTTTAAATATGTATTTTATTGATTTTTTTACAGAGAGGAAGGGAGAGGGATAGAGAGTTAGAAACATCGATGAGAGAGAAACATCAACCAGCTGCCTCCTGCACACCCCCTATTGGGGATGTGCCCGCAACCAATGTACATGCCCTTGACCGGAATCAAACCTTTCAATCCGCAGACTGACGCTCTATCCACTGAGCCAAACCAGTTGTGGCTGACTGGTTTATTTTGCTTAAGCATAACACTCTCTAGTTCTATCCATGCTGTTGCAAATGGTGAGAATTCCTTTTTTTTTTTTTTAAACCTCATTGTAGTATTCCATTGTATATATATACCACAGTTTTTTAATCCACTCATCTGCTGATGGTAAATTGTGCTGCTATGAACATAGGGGTACATATATCCTTTCTGATTGGTGTTTCTGGTTTCTTAGGATATATACCTAAAAGTGGGATCACTGGGTCAAATGAGAGTTCCATTTTTAGTTTTTTGAGGAAACTACACTGTTCTGCATGGTGGCTGTACCAGTCTGCATTCCCATCAGTAGTGCAAGAGTGTTCCTTTTTCTCTGCATCCTTGCCAGCACTTGTTAATTTGTTGATGATAGCCATTCTGACAGGTGTGAGATGGTATCTCATTGTCATTTTGATTTACATCTCTCAAATAATTAGTGACTTTGAGCATGTTTTCATATGTCTCTTGGCTTTTTTTATGTCCTCTTTTGAAAAGTATCTATTTAGGACATTTGCCCATTGTTTTATTGGGATGTTTATCTTTCTTTTGTTAGGGTGTATGAGTTCCCTGTAAATGTTGGAGTTTAAGCCCTTATCATTGACAACATTGGCAAATATGTTCTCCCAGGCAGTGGGTTTTCTGGTTGTCTTGTTGATGGTTTCTTTTACTGTGCAGAAGCTATTTATTTTGAGGTAGTCCTATTTGTTTCTCTTTAGTTTCCATTGTCCTAGGAGCTGTGTCAGTGAAGATATTGCTTCAGCATATGTCTGAGATTTTGCTGCACATGGAGTACTCTTAATATTAAGTCCTTTATTGATTTACAGGTTTTTTTTTGTTCATGGTGTAAGTGGGTAGTCTAGTTTCATTTTTTTGCATGTATCTGTCCAATTTTCCCAACACCATTTATTGAAGAGACTGTTTTGCCTCCATTATATGCTCTTGCCTACTTTATCAAATATTAATTGAACATAGTTTTTGGGTCAATTTCTGGGTTCTCTATTCCATTGATCTATATGTCTTTTCTAGTGCCAGCATTAGGCAGTTTTGAGAACAGTGGCTTTGTAATATAGCTTGATATCTAGTATTGAGATTCCTTCTACTTTGTTCTTTCTCAGAATTGCTGCAGCTATCCAGGGTATTTTATTTATCCCAGACGCATTTTTGGAGAGTTCACCCTAGGTCTTTGAAATATGTCATTAGTATTTTAATGGGGAGTGCATTGAATCTATAGATTGTTTTGGGTCATATGGACATTTTAATGACTTTGATTCTACCAATCCATGAACATGGTATGTTCTCCCATCTGTTTAGGTCTTCCTCTGTCTCTTTTTTCAGTGTCCTGTAGTTTTCTGAGTACAGGTCTTTTACCTTCTTAGTTAAATTTATTCCTAGGTATCGTAAATTTTTTTGGATGCAATGGTAAATAGGATTTTTTTTAAAAAATTTCTCTTTCTGTAAGTTCACCATTCTTATATAAAATGCCATATATTTCTGGACGTTAATTTTGTATCCTGTTGCATTACCAAATTAATTTGTTAAGTCTAATAATTTTCTGATGGAATCTAGGGTTTTCTATATACAATATCATATCATCTGCAAATAAGGACAGTTTTACTTCTTCTTTTCCAATTTGGATGCCTTTTATTTCTTCTTCTTGCCTAATTGCTATGGCTAACACTCCCAGTACTATGTTGAACAAGAGTTTAAGAAAGGTCATTTCATAATACTAAAGGGATCAATACACCAAGAAGATATAATCCTTGTAAACAAACATATATGCACCCAATGCAGGAGCACCCAAATACATAAAAAAAACAAACCCTCAGAACAATTGGAAGATATCAAGGGACAAGAACAGGATCAAAGGGATGCCCATTTTAACCACTCCTCTTTGACATGTTCTGCTAATATCTTGATGACTTCATCATCTATCTATATTCATCAGGGATGTTAGCCTGTAATTTTCTTTGTGGTATATTTATCTGGTTGTGGAATTAGGATAATGCCGGTTTTGTAAAATGTGCTTGGGAGTCTTCTCTGTCTGTTTTTTTTTTTTTTTTTGAACACAAAGACCTATAGCTGTAAGTCAAATAAATGCCTTTCAAACAAAAAATGATACTAAATTCCAAGTCAGGTTTTTTATTTTGTGAATTTTAGTGGGATGTTGAGGCCTCTTTCTAATACCACTATCCCCCCTAATTTGATGATGATATTGTTAAGTCTTGTTTGAGAAATATTATAGAATTCTTCAATATAGAAAAATCTCCTTTGGAAGGGATTATTTTCACTTTATCCAGCATTTATATTTTACAAATAAAAAATGTCACTGCTTGTAGTTAGGTATCTATGTAATTGAAAGACACAATAGTTTCCCATCCTACTTAATAAAAGAGTAATATGCAAATTAACAATCACTCCACTACACCACCAGCCATGCCCACCAGCCACACCCACCAGCCAATCAGAGGGAGTATGCAAATAAATTCAACCAAGATGGCTATAGCCACAGAGAGCAGTAGGGAGGCTTGGGTTTCCCAGGCAATGGAAGCCAAGCTTTTTGCCTGCCCTTGCCAGCCTAGGCCTCCACTCAAGGCTACAAAGTTTCAATTATAGAAGGTAAATAAATCCAAACAGAAATGGCTGCCAGCCACAGAGCTAGCAGGAGACTTGGCTCTGCTCCAGGCTACAAAGTTTCAATTGTAGAAGGTCAATAAATTCCAGATACCAGGGCCTCTGCTTGGGTCACTAGGGGGCATGGCTGGGCTGTAAACCATCACAAGGCCCTTGCTTAGGCCACCTCATGCTCCAGGTGAACCCCTACCCTGATCCAGGACACCTTTCAGGGCAAACCAGTTGGCCCCCACCTGTGCATCAGGCCTCTATCCTATTAATAAAAGAGTAATATGCAGATTGACCATCACTCCAATACACAAGCTGGCTGCTCCCATATGGTCAAAGATCCTGCCCCCATGTGGACACAAGATGGCCACCACAAGATGGCCAGCAGGGGAGGGCAGTTGGGAGGGACCAGACCTGCAAGGGAGGGCAGTAGAGAGGGACCAGGCCTGCAAGGAAGGAAAGTTGAGAGGGACCAGGCCTGAAAGGAAGGGCAGTTGGAGGTGATTAACCCTGTAGGGGAGGGCAGTTAGGGGTGACCAGGCTGGCAGAGGAGGGAAGTTGGGAGCAAACAGGCTGGCAGGGGAATAGTTAGACAGCTATTAGGCTGGCATGGGAGTGGTTACGGGGTGATCAGGCTGGCAGGCAGAAGCGGTTAGGGGCAATCAGGAAGGCAGGCAGGGGAGCCAGCAGTCCTGGATTGTGAAAAGGATGTCCGACTGCCCACTGGGATCGGGCCTAAATGGGCAGTTGGACATCCCTCGAGGGATCCAGATTGGAGAGGGTGCAGGCTGGGCTGAGGGACACCCCTCCCCCACCCAGTGCACAAATTTCATGCATCAGGCCTCTAGTAAATGTATAAATAATGAAACTCCCTAGAAGTAATTTTCAAATGCTGTGTTAGCACAAAATTTAAGTTAGAACTTATTATTCAAATATAATTTGTCTTAAATATCACAATTTAGGTCATATGGTAAAGGTGTTGGCTCCTGATCCCATTTTCCTTTTTAGTTCTTTCTGTGTTTTTGTAACAAATTCATTATGTGAGAATCCCTGTATTGAACTACAGAATGTGGGTTCTTTGTTCTTGACTGTCCTTCACTAAAGCAGTTTAATGTTGTTTTTCTCTAGAATCTCATCATGTGCTATATTTTTAACTCTGATCTTTTTTTGAAGTAAATATTAATAACAACAATCTTCTTTAATGCTTTATTTTTTATATTTTAATTTCTACTAGATTCAACCAGCAGGTTCACCATGTAGGCCCAGTGTACATCCTGAGTGTGACCTTCCTGAATTTTGTAATGGAACCTCACCAGCCTGTCCCAATGATGTAACGATAATCAATGGGCATTTATGTAAAGCTAAATATATTTGTTATGCTGGAGACTGCCATGATCTTAATGCACGTTGTGAATCCTTATTTGGAAAAGGTAATATTGTTTTGTAACATCTAAACAGATCTTCAATATTTTATTAACATCACCAAGACAATGGGCAATCACATATAATTATATCCTATATAATAAAAGAGTAATATGCAAATTAACCATCACTCCACTTCACCCATCAGCCAATCAGGATTGAGTATGCAAATTGCAAATTAACCCAACCAAGATGGCTGTGGCCACAGAGAGAGTAGGAGGCTTGGGTTTCCCTAGCAATGGAGGAAGCCAAGTATTCTGCACACCCTGGCTGGCTCAGGCCTCCACTCGAGGCTACAAAGTTTCAATTATAGAAGATAAATAAATCCTAGATACCAGGGCCTCTGCTTGGGTCACTGTGGTGTGTGGCAGGCCTGCAAACCACGGCAGGCCCCTCAAACCAGGCCACTCCATGCCCCAAGGGAACCCCCATTCTGATCCAGGACACCCTTCAGGGCAAACCAACTGGCCCCCACCAGTGCAGCAGGCCTCTATCCTATTTATTAAAAGATTAATATGCAAATTAACTGTTACTCCAACACACAAGATGGTTGTCCCTATGTGGTCAGATAGCTGCCCCCATGTGACACAAGATGGCTAGCAGTGCAGGGAATTTAGGAGGGACCAGGCCTGCAAAGGAGAGCAGTTGGGGGCAATCAAGCCTGCAGGGGAGGGCAGTTAGAGGTGATTGGGCTGGCAGAGGAAGGAAGTTGGTGTGACCAGGCCTGCAGGGAAGGGGAGTTGGGGGCAAATAGGCTGGCAGGGGTGCAGTTAGGCATCAATCAGGCTGGCAGGGGAGTGGTTAAGGGTGATCAGACTGGCAGGCAGAAGTAGTTAAGGGCAATCAGGAAGGCAGGCAGGTGAGCAGTTGGGAGCCAGCAGTCTTGGATTGGGCCTAAATGGGCAATTAGACATCCCTCATGGGGTCCCAGATTGGAGAGGGTGCAGGCTGGGCTAAGGGACACCCTCTTTCCCCCTTGAACACGAATTTCATGCACTGGGCCTCTAGTTTTATATGTTTATATATGTTATATAAAAATATATATAAATTTAGCTGAAGCCGGTTTGGCTCAGTGGTAGAGCATTGGTCTACGGACTGAAAGGTCCCAGGTTCGATTCCGGTCAAGGGCATGTACCTTGGTTGCGGGCACATCCCCGGTAGGGGGTGTGCAAGAGGCAGCTGGTCGATGTTTCTCATCGACGTTTCTAGCTCTCTATCTCTCTCCCTTCCTCTCTGTAAAAAATCAATAAAATATATTAAATATTGTTTAATGTGTATATATATTTATGTGTATATATATTTTTTGGTATTTTTTATTTTTTAAAATTTTATTAAGGTATAATTGACAACTAAAAATGCATATATTTTTGTTATGTTTTGATACTCATATTTTGAAAAAATTGCTATAATTTTAATACATTATGTAAAGTACTGGCCTCACAGAATATATATATAAATGAGATTGCTGGATCATAACATAGTTTATTTTTAATTTTTGAGGAGTCTATATGTTGTTTTTCATAAGAATTGTACTAATTTTATTCCCATGAACAGTGTTAAAAAGTTTCCTTCTCTCTACATCCTTGCTAACAATAATCTTTTTGATAAAATAATAGTTATCCTAAAATGTGTGAGTTGTACTTTTGATCTGCATTTTCATGATGATTAGTGATGCTGATCACCTTTTCATATATCTGATGACCACATTGTCTTCCTTTGAGAAATGTCTCTTCAAGTCCTTTGCTATTTTAATATCTCATTATTTATTTTTGCTATTGACTTGTATGATTAACATATATTTTAGAGATACATAATTTGTAAATATTTTCTCTTATGCTATATATATTTTTTATTGATTAAGGTATTACATATGTGTTCTTATTGCTTCATTGCCTGCCCCACAATCATGCCCTCACCCCCCTGATGTCTGTGTTCTGACTGCACTGAACCCCAGTTCTAGGCCAGACCCTGGAGACCCAGGCTCATACAGAGGGAGCCTGGACTGTAAGGCGGAAACCCAGGGGAGCTGCGTAATATATGTCCACTAACATATATTTCAGAGATACATGATGTGTAAATGTTTCCTATTATGCTATACTTTTTTATTGATTAAGGTATTACATATGTGTCCTTATTGCCCCATTTATCCCCACCCCCTAATCATGCCCTCACCCCCCTGGTGTCTGTGTCTATTGGTTAGGCTTATATGCATGCATACAAGTCCTTTGGTTGATCTCTTCCCCTTACCCCTACATTCCCTCTGAGGTTTGACAGTCTGATAGATGCTTCTCTCTCTGGATCTGTTTTTGTTCATCAGTTTATGTTGTTCATTATATTCCACCAATGAGTGAAATCCTGTGATATTTATCTTTCTCTGACTGTCTTATTTCACTTAGCATAACACTCTCCAGTTCTATCCATGCTGTTACAAATGGTAAGAATTCCTTCTTTTTTTACAGCAGCTTAGTATTCCATTGTGTAGATGTACCACAGTTTTTAAACCCACTCATCTGCTGATAGGCACTTTTGTTGTTTCCAAATCTTAGTTATGGTAAATTGTACTGCTATGAACATAGGTACTCATATATCCTTTCTGATTGGTGTTTCTGGTTTCTTGGGATACATTTCTAAAAGTGGGATCACTGGATCAAATGGGAGTTCTATTTTTTGTTTTTGGATGAAACTGCATATTTTTCTCCATGTAGGCTGCATTAGTTTGCATTCCCACCAGCAGTGCACTAGGGTTCCTTTTTCTTCGAATCCTTGCCAGCACTTGTCATTTGTTGATTTGTTGATGATAGCCATTCTGACAGGTGTGATATGGTACTACATTGTGTTTTGATTTGCATCTCTTGGATGATTAGTGACTTTGAACATGTTTTCACAAGTCTCTTGGCCTTCCTTATATCTTCTTTCAAAACTTATCTATTTAGTTTTCTCTTTCCTTCTCATTGTAGAATTTCCAGTCAGTCGACTTTCCTGTAGTTCTGGGTAATATCCATTTTGTATTTTAGTTGTATTTTATTGAAATTGTTGTGTAATGCTGCAGTTAGGTGTTTACCTATGCCCATCTTGGATTCAACCCCAGTTATAGGCCTGACCCTGGGGACCCAAGCTCATACAGAGGGAGCCTGGGCTGTAAGGCAGAATCTCAGGGGAGCTGCAAAAGGCAGTCCTGGAGGTGCGCACATTATGCACAGAGGACGGACTGTTGACTCTGCTGCTAGATTGCCCTAGCAGAAAGGAGACAAAAGCTCCGGACTGTGCTGAGCCCCAGTTCTGACTGCACTGAACCCAAATTCTAGGACAGACCCTGGAGACCCAGGCTCATACAGAGGGAGCCTGGGCTGTAAGGCAGAAACCCAGGGGAGCTGTGAAAGGAAGTCCCGGAGGTGTGCACATTGCATGCAGAGAATGGACAGCTGACTGTGCTGCTGGATTGCCCTAGCAGGAAGGAAACAAAAGCTCCAGACTACTCTGAACCCTACTTCCAACTCCACTTGCAACTTCACTGAACCCCAGTTCTGGGCTCATAGTGGAGAGCCTAGACTGTTTGGTAGTGAGTGAAATTCGAGGACACCTTTCTCTCAGAGGTGCTTTCAGCGAGTACCAAAGGACACTGAGGAACACTGAGACTCAGGAGCCTCGTAGGGCGAGGCTGACGGAACCCAAGGTTGTAGGCTCCACCCTGAAACTCTGCCCCATCCAAGCTGAACACAGAGACTTTTAAGGCTACCAACTCAGGGAAGCTGTGAAAATGCCGAGACCCGGAAACAGAACACAGACGAAAGAAATGACAGAGGACAAAAAGCGACTGGATATAGATTTCAAAACCACGCTTATAAGGTTTTTCAAGAATTTCCTAGAAAAGGCCGATAAAATAAACAAGACCTATGAGGATATGAAAAGGGATCAACTAAGAATAATAAAGGAGAAATAAAGAATACATTGTCTGAAATAAAAAAATATTATACAGAGTCCTAAAAACAGAATGGAAGATCGCAAGAATCAAGTGAAAGATTTGGAACATGAAGAGCCAGAAGACACTCCTCTGCAGAAGCAAGAAGACAAGAGAATCCAGAAAGTTGAAGATAATGTAAGAAACCTCTGGGACAACTTCAAGCAAACCAACAAAAGAATTATGGGGGTCCCAGAAGAAGAGAGAGAGCAAGATACCAAAAACATACTGAAAGAAATAGTGACAGAAAACTTCCCCCACCTGTTGAAAGAAATTGACTTACAAGTCCAGGAAGCGCACAAAACCCCAAACAAAAGGAATCCAAAGAGGACCACACCAAGACACATCATACTTAAAATTCCAAGAACAAAAGACAAAGAGAGAATATTAAAAGCAGCAAGTTACCTATAAAGGAGCACCCATAAGATTGACAGCTGATTTCTCAACAGAAACCATGAAGGCCAGACGGGAATGGAAAGAAATATTCAAGGACCTACAGCCAAAAATACTCTACCCAGTAAAGCTATCACTCATAATTGAAGGCCAGATAAAGAGCTTCACTAATAAAAAAAAAACCTAAAGGAATTCATCACCGCCAAACCAAAATTATATGAATTGCTGAAGGGGGTTCTTTCTGAAGAGAAAGAAAATAAAGATAAAAATTATGAATAACAAATACGTAACTATCAACAAGCGAATCTAAAAACCAAGGGAATTAAAAAAAATCTGATGAACATTATTAACTGGTGAATATAATGGAATCAGGGTATGAAAGGGGAGTGAACTGACGATTCTTGGGAGTTGGGGGTGTGGGAAGAGACTGAACATAAACTGTGCACCTATGGATGAATACAATGGGGAGTGGGGAAAGGGCAGAGGGTGGAGTGGGAACCTGGTGGAGGGGAGTAATGGAGGGGGAAAAATGAGGAACATTTGTAATAATATGAACAATAAAATTTTATTTAAAAAAAGTATTTAGATTCATTGCCCATTTTTTGATTGGGTTGTTTATATTCTTTTTGTTAAGTTGTATGAGTTCCCTGTAAATGT